CGGTGGAATGTGCCTGTGATTTCAGAGAACAGTGAGTTTGAAAAGAAGAGCAAGACTCTATCTCAAAAACATCATCAAGACTTAGGAGAGCATGAACAAAACAATTAAACAATTTAGTTGGTCCACTATTGAGAAATGCTGGCACATACTTGGGTGTTTACAGCTGTCTTTTTAAAGCCCTCTCCCTTCCCTTCCTTAAAATAGAACTTAAATCCTATGAAACAGATACTAACACTATCCCATTTTAGAGATGAAGAAACTGAGGCACACCGTACAGGCAGGATTTAAAACAAGGAAAGCCAGCTCCAGAACTTACCTTCTTAATTAACAAAGATATTAAAATTCTGATTTCCACCCCAGGCACAATGACTTAGGACTGTAACGCTGGCACTCACGAGACTAAGGCAAGAGGACTAATGAGAGTTTAGATCAGCTGGAGCTACATCGTAAGTTCTAAGCCAGCCTGTGCTACAGGGTGAGGCCCTGTCACAAATAAGAGTTTAATTTATATGATTATGAATTAGCAGGCTGGGACTACCAGTGAAACAGATCTACTGTTTAAAACCAGGAATAGTGCCGCACATCTGTATCTTTACTAGTGCTGGGGGAGTACAGGGGGAGGAGAAAGAGGTGGATACCCGGGTAGCAAGCTAGCCAGTCAGCCAATCAGTGAGCTCATGGTTCTGTAAGCGACTGTCTCAAATAGACAGGGTGGAGAGCCCTAGAAAAAGGACCTGACCTCTAACTTCCATGTGTAGGCTTTGTTCACAGACAACGGCATTCCCATGTGCACACACACACTAAAACAGAGAGAACAGTATAACCCATAAGTAAGTCACTGGTCCTGTGAAGAGCTTCAAATTCTTTAGAAACGTTTGATGATGAAAAATATTTTTGTCAGCCAGATGTAGTGGCATGTACCTCTAATTCTAGCACTCGGGAGGCAGAGGTAGGTGGATCTCTGTGAGTTCGAGGCCAGCCTGGTCTATATATTGAGTTCCAGGACATCCAGAGCTATAGAGTAAGAGCCTGACTCAGGAAAAAAGGGAGGGGAGAGGAGGGAGGAAAGAAACTAATGCAAGCATTCAGCAGGCGGAGGCAAGAAGATCGCTGTAAGTTTATGGCCAGCCTGAGCTACCTAGTGGATAAATGACCAGTCTGAGCTCCTCAGCTAAAGCAGCAGACTAGAAGGCTGAGGGAAGGGAAAAGGAAGACGAGGGCAAGCAACGGATTGTATGGATCTTGAAATATCTGAAGTAAGAACACACTGTGAAAATACAATTACCAGTTCAATAAAAGAAATAACCAATAAAAATTGGTCAGGTGTGGGGGTACATGCCTGTAATCCTAGCAAATGGGGGGGGGGCCGCTAAGGTATGAGGATATACCTGCAAACCTGGGCTACATAGTCACTTTAAGGCAAGCCTGGAGTATATTGCAAGACCCTGTCTCAAAAGGACACACAAAAAGTTAGTCAAGTAACTTTGTCTCTGGAACTATGAATGACCTCTCAAAAATATGTAAATACAAATGATTTTGCAAAACATTTTTAAGGGTTCATTAGCCTTCATTTAATCATCTATGGGCATTTAGAATCCTGTATCACAGGTTGAAATGGAAAAGAGTAAAGTATTAAAAAGCAAGTATTTTTAAATTTTTAAATTTTCTCCCCCCCCCCTTTTTTGGAGGAGAGCACAGGTGTGGAAAAGTTAGATGATAACTGTCAAGAGTAAGTTCTCTCCATGCACCCTGTGGGTCCCAGAAGGAGCTAAGATCAGTCTGTCTTGGTGACAAACATCTTTAGCCAATGAACTATCTTGCCACCCCCAATTTACATTTAATCAGCTTTAAAATCCTTACAAACTCCCAACCTGGTTTCTTCTGAGATCCATTATGACACATACTGCAGTTGAGTCAGAGAGATTATGAAAAGAATTCACATCCTATTTAAAGGTGGGGTTTGCTACCGCTCTCTTTTTTTTCTGGTGCTGGGCATCCAAATAGGGTTTAGGTAATTACCCTACCACTGAGCTATGGCCCAGCCCTCAAGCTGTACTGGGAGCTCATAGCTCAGTTCAGAATTTTGGCTGCATGGGTAGAACTTGCATATGCCAAGGACTACACATTCACATGGGTGGAGAGGAGGGAATTATGGTCACAAAATATTAATACGAATAATTAAAACTCAATTTTCTTTCTTAAGTAAACAGCATGTAGTTAAGTTAACTGCAGAGTTCAATAAGTCTCAGGCCTTTCTTAACAAATGTAAGTGCTGCATTCCTGAAACTGCAACCACATGCCAGCACTGTGCTACAGACACCGTGTCTGCCGTGACACTAAGCTAGTTCCAAGCACAAGATGTTCTAAAACTAAGTCCGTCGAGCGCCAATACACAAGCGTGACAGAACCGGGGGTCTGGCCGCTGATTTATCTCCTGGTGCAATTTGAGAATTCTAGTAATGGGACAGTGGTGTGGTGTAAAGTTTTACCTAAATCGTTTACGTTAACCCCAGTGAAATGGGAAAAGCAAAATGCAAAATCGATTAAGTAAGCACATTTTATATTCAACTATGAATTCTGCCACACTGAAAAAAAGACACACAAGTTAAACCGTATTTCCTAGTTATGAGGATGTCAAACCATTAGGAGAACAGAAAACAAGTGACCCAGAAAAAACTGCAAGTCAAATGAAAAACAGCAGCTGACTCTGTAGAGGAAGGCAGGTATGTGGGATGGGGAGCTGGAGCCCCTTGAGAGGGAAGGAGGAAAGACAGAAGTATTCAAAGACTCAAAAGCTCTTTCAGCAACTGCTGTGGGGAAAGAACGAACGTGTTAACTGTTTCTGTGGCGGCGTTGGGAGGCAAACCCAGGGCTTTAGGAATGCTAAGCAAACATTTTACCACTGTGCTACAACCAGGCCACAAGCCTGGCCACTATTTCAACTGAAAAGGCGAAACAGCATGGGGTCCAGGGTCTCGTCCGGCATCCAGGGTATTAGGCATTTAATAGCGGTCAGCTTTGTTTCCGGTGCATCCGCGAGTTCAAACCTTTTCTCTACCGCACCACCCTCGCATAGGCAGATGAACAAACCGAGCCCACACAAAGCACGGGAACACGGGCGAGTGTCCACGCACTTCACTCTCGGCGGGAGCCCACGGACACTTCCCCCCTGTTCTGTGCACAGCAACCATGGGCCTGGCAGAATTCCTCCCAGAACTCGGGTCGAGAATGTAACCTCTATTTGAAAGGGAAAGTTACTTTGGGGAACCTGGGCGAGGAGGGGGGTGTCTTCCAGGTATGCAGAGCTTTGCGATTCTGAGAAGCACCCGGCAGAAGCCCAGACGAGAGGCTTGTGGATCACGAAGCGGGGAGGAAAAGTCAGAAGCCCAAGTCAGCCCTTGCCCTTCCTGATCCTGGAGGAGGGCGAGCCTGCAGGCTTCCGAGCCTCATCAGGCACTGGGGGTGGGGGTGCTTGGCCAGGCTACCAAGAAGCCCCGGGGACAATCAGCGAGCCCCACGACAAGAAGTCCCGCGACAAGGCAGGGAGGGCCGGCCTGCGGGGACCGCGCCCGGTCCAAAGGCCCCGGCGTGCAGGCCCGCGCCCTTTCCCGGACCTTACCGCCGCTCGGTGCAGAGGGGCCGGCGGCCCGCACAGTCCTCGGCCCACGCCCGGGACGCGTCTTCGGGAGCTGCCGCGGCTCAGGCAGAGCCGGGTCGGGTCAGAGCTAGCTCCCAGCCGCGCGGCCGCGGCCTTCGGGACGCTCCAGCGCGCGTCGGAAAGCCTGCCGTGCAGACCTGATTATTCTTTTGCATGCTGCATTCGCATTCTCAAAGGCCAAAGATTCAATTACTATCTTACTAGCTTCTGAATCCAAGACCATCTTCTTTACTGCTGAAGCCATTCTTTGTAAAAAAAAAAAAAATCTGTGAAAGATTCTTTTGGGCCTTGCATAAGCTTTGTAAATGACTCAGTTTTTTTCCCTGGTTCCTCAACTCTGTCCCATGCATTCAAGGCTGCCGTTCAACA